GTCACTGATTAGATAAATCAGTTTGTTAGAGACAGTTAGGCTGTTTTATTGTGATAAATGCCTTTGCTAAGCACAGCCACACTGCCTCAAATGATTTTTCCTGGTGTTCCTGTTACCCAGCTAACAGTATGGACTGATTTACCAGTACATTTCTATATATTTTATACATTATTTTTATGATCTCTAATTTTCAACCTGAACCTGGAATTTTTTGGGACTGTATAGACTGATTGATTCTATTAATAAAACCTATATTTATCAGATCTTGTGGATTTTGTATTACAATTTGCCTTTTTTAATTTATAAAACCATATTTTTTTATCCCTTTAGGAAGGAAAGTGGGACATAAGGAAGCAAATATCTGCATTATGACCACTGGCTACCAATCATGAAGCAGCACTTTTGTTTATAATTCATGGAGAAGGTTCTGCAGTTTACCTGTGCCTACTTCTCAAAAAGCTTTTGTGAACCACTCATAAGAAAGTAAGACAGTTTCTTGCTACATATAGCAAGGAATGAGCTTTCTGGGTCATGATGAGAGAGAAAAGGATTCCTTGTATTTGTGAGACATAAAAGAATACCAATAATTGTAGCAAACCTCACTTAAGACACCAAATCTAGTCTATCATACTTTGGTCTCCCAGAAATATAGACACAATTTTCTAAGGAGAAGAATCTTAGATGTCTTATTAGGTAAGAAACAACTGCAAGACTCTGAAATCACCAACATTTTTCATTGCACCAAAAAATTTCCAAATTGCTTGTTTTGTTGTGCCTCTGCCCCTTCATTCCACATAAAGTTTCTCAGGTATTGGGACCACAAATAAACCCAAGTTAGCACTATTAAAGCTGAGTCAGATATTGCTGAATGATAACGTGGTAAGGTAGAGGTCATGTTTTTTGACAAGCTGATGGTAAATGGGACCACAGTGGCATTCAGTTCATATTTCACTAGGGTGATGTTGCTGCAGCTCATTCCCAAGGGACTGTTGCCACAGACCACATTTGTGCAGCAAATGAAAGCTTAGCTCCAAGTGGCATTACCAAGAACTTTTTGCTGCATTACATTATATCCCCTAAGGTGCAAGAGAACATTAGTTGCAAGTTTGATGAGTAGCATGCATTAGAAAAATGAAGCCATTAAATTCTCATAAGCTTTTAAATTTTTCATGTTATAATATTCTAAAAATGTTTTTGTACCACGGGCATACACCAGTTACCACAACAGCAAAGCCTGACGCTTCATATTTAAGTCTCCTCCTAGTGCCTCAGGCTCTCTTCTTCCCTTTATTTGGAAATATACTCATTGTAGGTCCTTATGGCTAAAAAGACACAAGTGGTCCTGACTGAGAGGACTTTCACTGAGAAAACTATATGCTTGCTATTTTCTATTAGTTGCATCTTATTCTGTACCTTGTGTTTTCTGATTTTGCCGTAATATTTTTCATTACAGTTCCAACTTCAGCTTGTATTTCTTCTCTGTAACTGAATACTGGCATCTAGGATGTCCTTTAGACTGATCTATTAGCCTTCTTCATTGTCCTTTCTATGAACTTACCACAAACTATCAAACCCACTAGTTTTAGACCCTGTCCACACTGCTTAATATTTGTTTGTGGAATTCTATTACTCCCTAATGATTGTAGTTTTCAGCCTTTCAGACTGTAATTTTCTTCTTTTGGTTAGTAAACCCCATCTAGTTCAGTCTTTTCACTAGGCAGAGCAAAGATTCTAGTTTTTGACTATGTCTGTTGCTTCCAGTGCCCATTCAGGCAATTTCTAAGATCCTGAGAAACATATTTCAAAGCTTTTTAAGACAGGTACAGATCCAATCTTACACAGAATGCTATGAAAACCTCTTATTTCACTTGCTTAGCAAAAGAAAACCTCCGAATATTCCAACTTCTGCCACAGAAGTGGACAAATAGAAATGTACAGAACTGGATTAGCTGAAGGCTTTGTCAACTGCCTCTGCTTTCATGTGAACCTGTCTGAGTAACTAAAATGTGTAAGCAGAGATCAATTAGTACACATTTCTCCCTCTGTAATCTTCACCCCTCAATTAGTTATCCTTTCCTAATCAACCATAGCTACAAGATGCAGAATCCTCCCTGACATATCACTCAATAAACATTTTAATCCCTATGATTAAAAAGATCTTAATTTAAGAAAAGTCAAAGCATGGACTCTAGAGATCCCCAGAAGCTACAAATAATCAGGATGGGTGATGTATTAACACTCTTCTGCCTCATCTGCCTCGCTAGCAAGTACTCTTGACACTCTGCTCTTGCCACTGAGATCTGTCCAATTGGGACTAGACCTCAAAAAGTATCACACAGCTTTAGAACCATCCCTGGACACAGAGGAATTAAGTATGAGGGACAGGAAAAAATGTTTGTGAACTGTTATTCAGAATAAAGCTATTTTGATTCAGCAAAGTGAAGCTGTAAAGAAATGCAACTCTCTACATCCTATCAGACATAGTCCCTCAGGAAGCCCCAGAGAGCAAGGTAACTAAGAATAAACAAATACCTGCTCCAAAGAGGCAATAACTCAGGTATAAAAAGAGTTAAGGATACAAAAGGCACAGTAGATGAATACAGATAGGGCAGGCAGAGTAACAGCAAGAAGCAAGGAGGAGTAGTTTTCTCATACAAGTAGGTTAATTACAGTCAAGTTTTTGTAGGTGTGAAAAAACCAACCATTTTAGAACGGGTTTCAGAAGAGGAAAATGAGTAAGCAATACAGATGTTCATGTCCAGGACGTGCAGCTTATGCCTGAGATGACACACAAGGAGTCAAATGTAGGTTGATTCCCTGAAAAATGTGGGGCTACAAAATTCTTTAGTGGCAATATTCTGAAGAGCTACAAACCAGGTCAGATTACAGCTGCCAAAGCCAAGGAAATGAGGTTGCAGCAACTAAGATGCAAAATCGCTGACAGCTTGGATGAAAGCTCAGCAGTATGCAGAGACAGGAAAAGCTGTCATGCAGACAGAATTAGCAGGATTTTGATAGGCTGGATAGAAAGAGGAAAAACTGTGGGCTGAAGGGAACACCCAGATTACTCATTCAATGAGAAAGCAGCACAGCAGCTGGAAGGGGACAGTGCAGAATTCCTTGGGCAGATTAAGAGCTCCAGGTTAGCAATGCTTTGTTTAAGGCAAAACAGAGATGAGGGGATGGCACTAAGATTGTAAACTGTTCAAAAGCTGATGGATGGTGAGCACAGAAGCAGATTTCCAGCACTTCATACTTTACTTTATTAATTCCATTTGCTTTGCCCAGACGACTACTTAACCGTTCCAGAAAGTCTGGGCTTTACATTGCGAACCAGTGACTGAAGCCATTAGTACTTTTGTTCTCTAAGAGCTACCTCACTTGACACAGATTACTCTGCAGATTGTCACAGCTCATCAACATTTACCACTAGTTAACTCTCAGCTTAGACTAGTGGTTGTACTTCACTGTGTTTCCAGGAACAAGGTTTCTACCACCGCCTTTTCACACTCTTCTCTACACAGTGTCCCGACATCTTACGCCAACAAGTGCTCATTTTCAAGATGCTTTCATCTTCCAATAGCTAGCAACAAGAGCTGCAACTTCTGATCCATCTGCACATACTGGTTTGAGGAACATGTTGGATCCAGCAATAGGAACCTGAAAGACTGAACGGCAATTCAGAACTCTCAGTTTTCTGCACTTCTTTCTTCATCCCCACTACTTTTTAAAAAAAATCAACTGTGTCAAGTTAACATAAATTACTTCCCTAAACTCAGGTTTTCCTGCAATTGATCACACACCCCGAGTTAAAAGCCTTGTCAGTCCTTGCTGTTTATCAAGCTTGCCCATAAAAGTACACAATCACAGACACAACCACAGACACAAACACTAATTAACAACATTCCATTGTGCCACAAATGAGAGATGTCAAGAGATCTACCTTACCCTGCCCTGCTCCTTACACAGCTCCCACTTCACGAGCACACATGCACACAGACAGCAGGCAGACAACAATATACAAAGATAATGAATGGGTCTCTAGTGTTTCAGATTTACCTACAACCGTGTCCTTCCATCAGAACTTTAAGAGTGTTTTGCTTCTGGCACTAGCATTAGCAATCCCACAATACAGACTGTTAAGAAAAACGTTGCTCAACATTAGAGATAGTTAGAAACAGAGTCAGAAAAATCTGGGGGCTTCCCAGGAGTACTCTGCAAATTACTCAAGAACTACCAGTGGATATTTGACAAACTGCATTGCAAAGCTGCTGCCAATGGGTTACGCAAGTCTCTGACCAAAAAGTAAAAAAAGAAAACAAACTGATAATGAATATCCTGATGAAAAGGAGAATGTGTACATCTCACGTATTAAAGACACAAACTGAATTTGAAATAAAGGACATGCATATGGAAAGTGC